TGGCTATCAATTAATCAAACGCAATTTCATCGTTTTTTCGCATTGATTTTATCGGTGAATCAAGCTCGATCTTGGAAAGTTTTTATTTTAGATTCACTTTTTCAGTTAATCATACCAACTTTACTATTGCTTGGCGAATGAATTGATCTCGTAATTCGCGGTGCACCTCGAGGAAGCATTTTTCCTTCTTAAATGATTCGCTGTCAAAATCACCTCATCCTACTAATAGCCGGCCGCATAAGCCTAATGTGGTGTCAGAATTGGTGATCACTAATCATTTACTTGGTTAACCACTATACCAAATACGATCTTTCAGTAAACGTATAACGTTATTTGGCTTCGAATTATGGAATTATGGGATTTGTTCTATGAAATTCGCTATTTGTGTGTCCGTTAAGGGTATGCAATTTCAGACATAGCTCTTCGAATTGAATTAAAATATTTTGATGTTCCCTAAAACCCCCGTTATATTGTATTTTGTCGCAAATCTCTTAAAACGCCTTTATATCTCCCTTCGTAACCTGAAACTCTTTGGTTCCCTTTCGAATATTTCATCAAATCCTTATTTACTCTTTTGGAATGATACATTTATAAAACCTCCTTAAATCCTTTGTTCTCTGCAAACGTCCGCAAACCTCCCCGTATGATCCTTTAATATATCATTATTCTTTTGTTACAGCCTATGAAAAGTCTCTTCAAATTCGCCCTTATTGTTAAGATCCCCACAAATTCCATTATATTCCTTTAGCATAACCGCTGTACTTCAGCCACTTAATTTTACACCGAAATTTTTTCGGAAATGTCTCTCATAGACTTATTCAGCATCAGCCACGTCCGAGAAATGTTGATTGCAGGTCCTGCTATTATCCTACTTTTCTGTGGGTGCTGGCTCTACGCTTTTTTTCATTTTCGACTTTTTTTTTTCAATTGTGCATTTGTCTCATTTTATCTTTTCTTTTATCCGCTTTATCATTTTGCTATGTTTGTTTGCATCTGTGCATATACGATCTTAAGAAAATGAAGAGGTTCCGATTGACCATAGCATAACTTCAGCCCATCGTTTTTGAACCTTCCCTGAAAAAACTGAAACATCCTTAGCACTCAAAGCCTCTTCGGGTTCTTTTTGGCTTAATTAATAACGGCACCTTCCATTATCCCTCGTCATTCTCTATTATATTTCGTTCTCTCGTCAAGCCCTCGCACTGCTTCTCTGCTGCTGCTGCAATAGGAAATAATAAATGGAAAGGGTATAGTAATTTCGAAGCTCGGCTAACCATTCTCCTCAAATCAAAATTAATATGCTCTCAAATCCTCCCAAATCACATGACTCCTGCTAAAGGATTACCGTTTAAATGCGATTTGAAACACAATTTTTTATATTATATGGAAATAAATAAATAAACAGTAATAGAGACTATAAGGAACATCCATGTTAAATTGGCACTTTACTTTATCGGATTAGGAAACCACTGACGACTCACTTACTAACTGGAAATTCAGAAATTAGAGAAATTTCAATCAAAATACCTTGTGTTTTTGTTCATAATGTCCAGTGCAACTGTAAATATTGCAACTGATTTCTTTTTTATCACAGCAGTTTACTTCTCGAATTAATTAAGGAGGTGGATAACCAATTAAATAATACGGGATAACGAATGAATATCTATTAGGACTCCCAAAAACTCCTCTTGCAATGGAAACTAATAAATCATGCTGCATTATCCATCAACCTCGACATATCTGAAACACAGTTTGCGCCATATGACTGTAACTGTGAGTGCCCATATAACACAATGCTATGATCTCGTTCTTCAGAAATCTGAGGACAAAAAAAATCTAGGAGAGGACAGAATCGGGCTGAACTCTATAATCTACAGTCCAGTGACATTCGCAATTCACTCCCGCTGAGAAATTTCAAACCAAATAGCCCTAATCAAAATAGCCCTTCTTTCGCGAAGCCAACATCTCATCTCTGATGGTGTAGTGCGCACTTATTTTATCGCTACAAAACATGATTATCAATGAGAATGGAAAATATCAAGTTATCTTATCTTCAATGCAATTAAGATCTATAATAGTTTCTATAGCATTCACAATTTCCCCGATAAACTTTTCCTTCCATGCCTAATTTTTACATTGATAAAACCTCAAATCCGCTTTCGCATGAATACCAAGTGTATTAATCAAATCGTCACGGAACATCTACTAAGCTATTTATACCATGTTCTACACTGTTCATCACAGACATTGGCGCATATCTCACTATTTGCCCTTCTATGAATTGCGTTAAAATCGAGATCAACACTGACACTGATCTAGACCGATATAGTCAGAAAAGATGCTGAAGTGACCCGGCGATGAATTGGCTTAAACAATAGAAGAAAGAAATGACTTTTCAAATAGAAATCACCCTATCCCCATGTACAGAATTGTGTCAATTTAAATTAGATATTAAAGTCTCCCACACCGATAAAATTAAAGTAGGATAAAATCAATCGAAATAATTGATCCGCCGTAAATTTATTCTTCCATTCTGAAGACCATATATATTTAAAATAAAAATACTGCCAGTGTTAAAGATAAATTTTTTGTTACAAAGTATTCAGAGAAAATATAAGAGTCGCTACCAGTTATAACCAGTTATAATCAGTTATGTGCGTAAAATAAGATAAATTTAACAGACTTATTGTATCATCATTCCTAGATTTAAGTGATCCTAGTACCATAATCCCTTCTCCAAATAGCCTGTAAATCCCATCACATTGCTCAATGTCTCTATTTTCCATCACATTTTCTTTATACTCACTTTTGCGTTCGTAATCCCTTCATGATATGTTCGGATTCTCTTATAGTTTATAGACGATTCAACAATTTGGCCAACTTTTCCGACAGATTGATTTACTGACCACAATAATTAAAAAAAGCTCGGCTGATATGAACAGAAAGCATGAGGGTATATTCTTCATGGTGCCACTGCTTTACGTCAATACAAATCTTACCACTTATTTATGGTAGCACACGTCAATGGTACAACCCTTGTTCACCAAGGTACCATATCTGTTTTCACCCACTCGCCAATCTGCCCCACCCCCAAAAGACAATCCAACCCCCCGCCCCCCCCCCCCCCCCCCCCCCCCCCCCCCACTACGCCCCATAACCATCTCCTGGTCTTCACTTGACAGATATCGTTAATGTCAACCGTGGACTAATTCGGGCCGCGTCGCGTTCTCGTCAAGATCGTTTTATTTGGCGGCAATTTAAAGGTGAAGTTTGTAAAAGTTCATTAATATAATTTTTTAAAGAATTTTATGAAATTAGTAATAACAAATATTTTTCATACAAAATTTTTCAAAATTAGCGAATTTCAAAACTAAAATTAAAATTAAAAATTCGCGAAAAAAAGGAAATAAAAAAATTAGTAATCGAATGGATTTTATTTTAAATTTTCGTTTTAAGAGCCCATAAGCGTGCGGCGTTTTTCACGTGGAATGTTTGGTTTGTTTAAAGATTTTTGCTGTGACGAGATGCGCTGTTCTTTGCGAATTTCGCTATTTTTGTCGTGAAAAATTATATTGTTTGTTTGTTGATCCGAAATTTTTATCGTATATGTTATAATATTTTTTTAAGTAAAATCCTAGTCTTATGAAAGCGAAGAGGAATAGGGGGGGGGGGGGGGGGCGGGGTGCGCGGGGTCTTCGGGGAAAGGGGTCCGTGGATTCGTTGGCCGTCGTTATCAATTCACTATAATTTCGACTTGGATTTTTTCGCTGAATTCAATAACTCTGGAATTTTATTTCAGTGTTTGCTTTCAATTTATGAAAAATATTAGTAATATTATCTTTTAAGTAATATGTTCATCATTTATTATTATAAGTGTGACTCAGCACCATTTAATTATTTTAGCAGTAATCATTTGTCTAATGTAAATTTTATTGAACGAAATTCCTGTCACGATTTGTATGAGTTTAAAAAATAAATGGCTGATTTGAAAAGTTGAGGAATTGAAAATTTTATTTGAACAAGCTTGGTCATTATTCATAAAATTGGTCTTGCATTGATTGAATTGGTCCTACTTTTGAACCTATTTTTATATTGTGAGGGCAGCTTAGCTCACTCAGCGAATCTTTTCCGCCGAACACGTCTTTTCTATCCCCTTTATCTTGTTTAGATTTATGATTTTTTGATTTAATGTTCATTTACAAAAGTTCGTCATTTTTTATGGAATTTTGTTTGAAGATGTTTTTCTTTTCTCTTAATAGAAAAAGTTTGACCTTGATATTTTGAAAAGCTCCAAAAGTTTGATTAATGTGCCTTTCTGGGCCAATACTACAACGCAGCCTCCGTGCTGCGAACTTGTTTGGCAATTCTCTTCTCTTATTCATGATGTTGATAGGCAGACAGAGTGTGTGGTGCGATTATTTATATTATTGTCCGAAATCTTTTGGGGTTTGCATTGTCGTATGGGCTGCTATAATTTATTTTAGCGGAGATTTTTTAGTAGATTCTTGGAATTTTGGTAATGATATGGAGACTTCAGTTCAGAAATGTTTAATCAATTCGATCGATATGAAATGAAATAAACGTAGGAGAATGTTCGTACGTTTTGTTTTACTAAGATGGGATGAAGACTGTGGGTAATGCTTTTTAGGTAGTATTAGGTTAGATTTGCTCCAGTTTGATAAATTATTAAGCTAATTATTAAATAAATGATGAGAAAAAAAATCGTTATTGTGAGGAGCGGCCGAATATTTCTTTTCACTACCCTTATTTTGTTGTTGTTAATATAAGCACATGACGCTTGTTGCCTTGCTTGATTGGTTAAAATAAATAAACATTATGGAAAAATTTATTCCTGAATTTATCTCTTATATCTCGTGCTGTTAATTGTATTATATTTCTTTTAGGATGTTTGAAGGATTTTTCTTTCATTTTGTTTTTAGGAAAAGGAATTTATTGATTAAATAGTTCTTTAAATTAATAAGGAAAATTGTTTTATCGAAATGGCTACAACGATGAATCCCGAATAGTAAGCTTATTCTTTTTTATTCCGTTTGAAATTTTTAAATTTTTTTCAGAGCATTTTTTGACTGCAAAACAATGCTCGTTTTCATTTATTGCTGTTTGAAATTGCATTATTTTTATTCATATATCAACTTTTAGGGCATATAAGGTCATTTAGATTTTAGCATTGAGTTGATTAGGAATTGTTGCTTTCGTTTTCATTTTTGAATTTTTCAAAATTCTTTGAGCATGATCTTGATGAATCCAAATGGACCAATCCCAGTCTCTTTTGAATTTTTAATTCGAATTAATATTTCATGAGTATAGATATTGGGAGTTGATATAAGGAGTTGATTTTCCGTCTTAAAATAGCAGGCTGAAATATTTATAATAAATCTGTTACCATATTATAAATTTTATTTAGCGATTATTTGTTCAAACTACTATTGATTGGTGATTCTGGTGTGGGAAAATCGTGTTTGCTACTCAGATTTGCTGATGATACTTACACGGAGTCGTATATTTCCACGATTGGCGTTGACTTCGTCAGTTTACACATTATTCAGATTTCTAGAATATTTCGTCCTTAATTTTCTATCATTTTAATTTGGTTATGTTGTGATAATGTTTTCTAGAGATAAGAATACGATTATTTCAAAGGTGAATCTAGGTTGTACCGAATAGTGCGAAACCAGTTTCTTTCTGAAATCGATGAGTATTATAGTATGCCATTTTTTATCATTATTTAGAAAATTTTATTTTTTTAAATAATTTTCTGCAATTTTTTAGAAAATTCGTACCATTGAATTGGATGGCAAAACGATCAAATTGCAAATCGTGAGTTTAATCTTCACCTCATTTTTTTTGAAATTCTCTTTGTTTGCTTTTCTTAGATTGATCTTTATCAGTTGGGCATACAATATATTTTTTAATTTCGATCGAACTGAAGATTTTTCTTATTTCTGCCACATTTTATAATAAGTATACTTAAAATTTTAGTGGGACACTGCTGGTCAGGAACGTTTTCGGACAATAACTTCGAGTTATTACAGAGGTGCCCACGGCATAATCGTAGTGTATGACATTACCGACCAGGTTACTTTTAATGATTTTATAATTGGGCTCTGAGGATTCGTATTTATTGCCTCTAATGAGAATAAAGCTGATGCATCATGGTAATGATGAGAACCCATCTATTCTTCTGTGCCCATGTGATTTAGTGAAATTTGTCATCGTGCTTATAGTCAGTGAAGCTACGAAGCTAGTAGTCAGTGCTAATCACATATTTGTTTTCTAATTTTAATTCTATACACACACAGATTCTTTCTGTGTCTACATCAACCACTAGCATGGTCTGTTGACCGTTGTAGTTCATTCTATTTATGTTTTTGTGTCTTGAAGATATTTGCCCATTTATCCAGATTTTTAGGCATTATTTATAATATTTATGGCTCGATTTAGCAATTTTTGCTGCAAAAACTTCAGAAATTAGCGGCATTTGGGGTGATTGTGTGAAATTTGAAATAAAGATTTTCTAGTAAAAAGTGCAAATTTTAGGAATCATTCAACAATGTTAAACAGTGGCTTACTGAAATCGAGAGATATGCGTGCGAGAATGTTAACAAATTGCTTGTCGGCAATAAATGCGATTTGACAACAAAAAGGACCGTTGAAGAGAGTGCAGCCAAAGTAATCTTGAATTGTTTCATTAATATATGAACTTTTATGAGCTAGTAAGTTTTGAAGTTTATTTACGAAGTTGAGTAAAACTTGCTAAACTTGCTTCACGAAGTAATATGTATTTTAGATGGATTATGGTTATTTCAAAACTTTTCAGGAATACGCTGATCAGCTTGGTATTCCATTTTTGGAAACCTCTGCGAAATCTGCAACAAATGTGGAACAAGTATGTGCTTTGTCTTAATTGGTTTCAAGTGTGCTTCATCCATCCCATCTTTTGATGTTCTGAGAGTTCCTAAGAATGGTTGAGCTGAAAAATTGTTGCCGAATTCATGGAAAGTTAGCTTTCATATTCGTTTCTGTTCATCCTTTTTACAAATATTTTTATCAGAAATCGTTAGCAGTTTAATAATTTTCAGGCTTTTCTTACGATGGCTGCAGAAATCAAAAATCGTATGGGACCTGTGCAGCAAGTTGGAACTGGACCATCAGTTCGCATAGGTGGATCGCAACCTGTGAATGAGCGAAAAAGTGGTGGATGTTGCTAAAATGATTTAGCTATGAGAAATTTTTTACCTATTTATTCTTTTTTGGCGAATCATTCGATCTTTTAAATCAGTTAGTGCGTTTTAATGTCGCTAAAATTGCGGCAGGTTTTAGCACTGTTGGCTGTGATTTTTTACTTTTAATATTAATGAATACTGAGGTTATTAAAATTTAAGATAATCATGCGTAGAATCACTTATATTTCTCTTTAACTGGGTTATGGAAACAAACGTAAGGTCCTATCACTTCTATTATAAAACATTTTGGATGTGCGCTTGCATAATTCTTCGTGATATGTTGTTATGTTGCGGGAAATAAATAAAAAACAAAATCATTCACCTTAATCAGCCTATCATTTTAGTGTTTTATTTCTATAGGCTACCTTATTATTCAAAAAAAAAATTCATGTTCATTCATTCAATTTATTTTTTGCTTTGTATTTAAGCATTAATAGATGTTTCTGCATTCATCAAATTTCTTTTCTAGTTTTCTTTTGTTTATTTACATTTGAAATTCGCAGAACAGTCTGCTTTTTTTAGATTAACTTGACAATTTTTTTGTTTGTTGTTTCCATATTTCATTGTGGAATACATTTTTCTTCTCAATGATGACGTTAAAACACGAACCCTGGAAGTGATGGCCTTTTCACTTGATTCATAATTCATCGCGCATGTGGTCTTATATATTTGCAAAGATTTGTTGTTAAAACATGTTGTCAAAGATCACCTTATCAGTCTTTTCTATATTCACTGGAAACAATAAGTCATAGATAGACTGATCATCGTGAAAGCGAGATTTAATGATAATGGTTGGGATAGGATGTGATGGGGCGACAACTTTTCTTTGGTCTAAGGAAGTGCTGAGGGCGGGAGCGAATTCTCATGAAAATGGGATCATTTTGATAGACAATTAGTGTGCATGTCGGGTTGTATCTGGCAGCTCTTTTTGCACATTTTTGTGTTATTCAGTGCGGCGTATTCTTGTATTGATATAATATTTCTTATCGATGGATCTATTGATGCAGATAATCATTTTCAAGTAAAAATTCCCTGTTTGTAATTCGATAAAAGTGAATAGGGCGATACATTATATAGTATTGGATATTAGGTTTGCTATAATATGGCGTACGATATTTATAGACATGCGAGAGTAAATTTGATTTGATGGAAGGGTACAAATATTTCTCGACGGAATATTTCCCACAAAAAATAAGCAAAAATAAAAAGGTTCGGTGGTGGGGATTTTAATTCTTTTTTTATCAGTTCTTGAAGTGGATTTAAAACATGGAAATTCGCATAATTTTGTTTTTTATCATTTTCTGCAGAAAACAATCGAAGTCGTTAAAAATTTAACACATGATTTCAATATTGGAAATCAAAAACAACGCATCGCTATTGCCGAATTTGTTAACAAACAACGATCTGTTAAATGGCCAAAATTTTATTTCGAAGATATTAAGGTGGGTGGAAATCAATTTTTAAGAGGGTCCAGTTAAGACCTGGACTGATACAGTCAGGAAAGATTTTGAACGTATAAGAGAGACAAGCGATATATGAACTTATACGGTGGAAAAAGGAATGGCTTAGGCTTAGGGTGCAATGCTGAGCGTATAAACGTGAACCTGGGGCAAATTCATAACGATCTTATAAGCTGCGAGAAAGGGATTTTTAAGAGAGGCGATTTCCTTATTCATCTACTCTTTTATATGGTAAAATTGGTGTTAGAAATCGAGTTTATGATTTGCTAATCGCGGATCTTCGCATAAAGTGATTATAGTATTTTTAGAATTTTACACTGTGACGGCATCAAAGAATGTTTTTTTCACATTTTTTGAAGGGGGGGGGGGGGGGGGGGGAGGGAATAGTGTTTTCTTGAGGAGAAAACAAGAAAAAAATACGATTTACGATTTTGAGGGAATTTTTTCTGCAAAACTTCCGCGAAGGTTAATTGTTAAAATATCGTTTTTTTGTCGAAGCAAAATGCAATTTTTTAAATTATAAATCAAAATACGAAAAACCAATAAGAAAGTAGAATCCACAAGGAGAATTCATGTTCCATGCACTCCGACTTTGATTTCAGTTCAATTTATTCGCTTTTAATGCATTTACATCGGGGAAGGCGCGGTGGTATTGATGAGGGTTTCCTTTTGAACACCGCAAAATTTTGTTAGATCCAAAGGCGATAGAAATTTGAGATATAAGATCGCTGAAATATTTCGCGATTGATGGATGGTTTATCGGTGTTAATGAATAGTTTCTCCACTTTACTGAAGAGTTTTTAGTCGAAAAATGTGTTGTATGAAATACTTGACGGACTTCGTCCAATGCAAGGAATCTCAGATGCTGGTCATGCATTAAAGCTTGTTATCAATGAATTTCTAGCACTTCGCAGAAAACAATTTCCTTTAGTGATTATTATTCTAACAGAAGGAAATTACAGGTTTGATATATTTTATGAAGAAAAAGATGCCGTTTTTTTGTTTTTCATATCATCGTCAATGGTCGATGGTATTTTAATAATATTTTCATGAAAAAAGGCAATCTAAGAGAGAGCTTAAAGAAGGGAAAGGCCTTTAATTTCGAGAAATATTTTCGAAAATAGCCTTTTAAAAGAGTTTATCCAAAATCTTGAAAGGTAAATGGAAGATCTATTGCATCTATTCATTCAAGCGTTTTGCTAAAGCTCTTCCATTAAGCCCTTAGTTTTCAATATCACGTGAAGCATCATGAAAACTTAAAAAAATATTTGAAACCTTGAACGAATAATAGATTTGGTTTTAGAGATCACGGCTCAGTTGTGGAAAGCACTCAGAAAATTTCCCAATCATACAATGTCCATTTGTTTGCTGCAGCAACTTCAAACGTTTACAATACGTAAGTAATATGTTCTATTCAATTTAAAAATGAGAATCTCATATCGGTGAATTCGTGAGAAGAGGAGGGAGGAGGGGAATAAAATGGTTTGATTGTTTATTGCTTATCTTCTTTCGGAGTGCCAATGCCAATGAGTGGAGAGTCAAAAGACTGATCTCCAAATCAGTCTACAGCATCGTATCACAGATCTTGAATACGCTGATTACGTAGTCCTTTTTACTTTCTGTTATGATGAAATGCAAATAATGCTAAATAACGTGTCAGCAATTGCAGCAAGAATCGGACTCAGGATCAATGTAAAACGAAAGTCTTTTCGCCTTATGTGCAAGAAGATAAAATGCCTTCTTTTGTAAATTCATTGGCGGTTGAGGAAGTGCCCGATTTTAAATACCTTGGATCCACTCTAATACCAGGCAAAAGATGATATTATAGCCCGGACCACGGCAGCTAGAAATGCGTTCTTTCGGTTGACGAAATCTTTATGGAGCCGTCGTGAAATCACCATAAAAACGAAATTCCGCATCTATATATCCGTGACCCGTTCGATCTTGCTATATGGTTCTAAGGCATGGCCAGTGAAAGTGGAGGATATTAAGTTATCTGCCTTTACCTTTGACCACTCTTGTCTAAGGTAAAACACGACATCCTGTCCGATCTGTCAAGTTAAGCAACGTTGGGCTTGGTTAGTACTAGGATCGGAGACGGCCTGGGAATCCCAAGTGCTATAAGCTTTTTTCAGTATGGATCCATCGAGGGGATAAGATATCACATGATCGCATCCACCTTCGTTCAGATACACTTGCATCAATAATGTTAAATAAATAATGTTATCACAGTGTGTCGCCTTCGCTGGTTAGGGCACCATCGTCCACCACAGGAGTTGACACATAGTTCGTTATTTGCTAAACTCTGTGATGGTTGGCGTCAAAAGCGAGGAGGACCAGTCAAGACCTGGACTGATATGGTCAGAAAAGAACGAAAGAACGAACGAAAAATCCGGAAATTTCCCTTCAATTATATAGCATATAAAAACATATAATAATACAAAATAACATATAGATAGATGGACCAGCAATATATGGACTTAGACAATGGAAAAAGGAATGGTTTTTATTACTAGCCATGACATCGGACCGAGCAACTTGGAGACGTCTTGCTCTTGTAACCAGCTGAGCCAGCCTAACCAGTAATGGTGAAAACTGTTAGAAAAAGAAGTGCCAATGCAATGCTGCGGTTCTTTTTCTCCACGAACAGATTTGTAAAAAACGAGATGATGTTGGCCAATCGCCCGTACCGTACTTCTATCGCTAGAAATTGACTCCCTTGAAAGATTTATCTAATCCCACAAGCCGATTGAGCGAGCCCAAAAATAAATTGTGGATACCTTTAGAAAAAAAATCTATTTGGCTTAAACTGATAATCTTTGAAATATCTGAGAAGTTGCATTTCCATAAAAAATTTTCATACAGCTTATTAGTTTAATAATAGCTTAATTTAGAGCCGGCTTATCTTTATTAACAAATGGTGATCTAAAGCGGATATTTGTTGGAAACAATACTGTTGAAAAAATATTATCATCGCTAAAACAACTATTGAATTGCGAAAAGAGTCCTAAAATTCGCAGCGATATTCGAAGAAAACCTATTAATAGCAATAATCAGATCATATCCGAATCATATTCTCCTACTGCAACTATGTGAGTTATTTAACATTTTTACTTCAAATTTAAATGTTTATTTTTTGGATTCTTTTAATAACTGAAAAATCCATATCGATAAGACTCCATCCACAACTGATAATATATGATAATTATATAAGATTCGTAAATTTGCTGATAAATTTTTATGAATTCAGATCGCCACTCATAACAGTTCAAAAATCAATAACGAAAGTTGCGACTATAAAAAATACAAAAAATTCGAAAATACTAAACACTAAGTTGATCGAATCGCCAATTGGTGAAATTCCTAAAACATCGACAACAACGAAAGCAGTTAGAAAGGGAATTAATGAAAGAAAAGATATCCGAAACAAAAATCCCGGTAATCCTTTTTGTCCAATTATTATTTCATTGTCGAAAATTGAATTTTTATCTTTTTTTATTTGAGGAAAAAAGATTCAATAAATTGGAGATTATGACCGTGGATTTCGTTTGAAAATTGTTTTATCATGGTGTTTTAAAATTGAACATTGATGTGAAAATATTTGAGCAATGATTAAATATTTTATAAATGAGATTAAAAGGTGTAAAAAAAGACGATAAGAAATTTTGAACATATGGCCCAGATGGCCCAGCGATGTACGGGCCAAGAGGATGGAAACTGGAATGGTTTCTGGGTCTGGGTTTTTAACAAATGGTTTATGTTCTCGAATATGGAATCAGATCGAATGGCTTGGATACACGTTCTTCTTGTAACCCACTAATCTAAGGATCCAATCTAAGTTGAGAGCTATTAGAACAACAGATAGGAAGAGAAAGCAATCCCCGAACGAAATAGAATCTCTCACCCAACAAAAACTAGATTATCTAACTGTTACCTAACTGTTGTACTGCTCAAATTTTAGATTGTATTTTGGATATGATTTTTGTTATGGATTTCTCTGGTGGTACACTTGATAAACATAATGCATATATAAATATTTCATCGGCAATCATAGAATCGTTGTCTCTTAGTCGATCGACTATTCAGGTCAGTTTTATTTGATGTTCGAAAATTTTTCTCGAATTCCTTGTTCAACAATATTCCAAACGTATGCGAAACTTCGTAATGAAGAGTGCTGAAACGATGTTTTCTTATATTCGTTATAATGTCTCTTTTGAAACTGTGGTTTCTTTATTTGACTAGGACAAAAGCGCTACGATTATAGGTGGGCATGGTGCGATATTCAGGACCAGGTCGTGCAGATACAGTTTTTCATTTAAATAAACATAATTCGACGAAAGAGGCCATACTCGATATGAAAAGAGCGGATCATATGGGTGGTGTAACTTATACAGGCCAAGCTATTCAGTATAGTATAAAAGAGTTCAACGAAGAATATGGCGGAAGAAAGCAGTCGAAAAAAATTATTATTATATTTACTGATGGTTATTCACAGGTTTAAGCTTCATTTCATAGTAAATTTAGATATTTTCAGCACTCATGCCTAATTTTTTAGGAGGATCCTTCGTTGGCAGCTGAAAATGCCACAAAGTTAGGTATTGAAATACATGCCGTTGCCATCGATGATGAACTAATAAAGCCTGACGTTGATCAACTCCTTATAATAGCTCAAAAACCTGAGGTTTGCTTTTATCCTTATTATAATATGATTAATCATATAATTATAATATAGAATGATTATAAGGAGCCACCAAAAATTACAATCACAAAAATTTCGTATTATCTTATTTTTTCTCGGTCGTTCTATTCTAATCATCCATCGCTGAACGCAGATATATCCTCATATTCCAGTTTATCCAACTCTTCATAATTATTCCATGAATACATGTCTTTTTAGCATTTCTTTTTAAGTAATTTTTTTTTTAAACCTAAAATATTTATATAGTACCATAAACGCAAATTTTTTAGTCGTATTATTAAATTATATATATGTAAAAAAAAATGAAAATTTTTTCATTTTTCATTCATGAATTTAAAAATTCATGAAAAATAATTTTTCAGAATGTTTACATTACCGAACAAGACGTAAAGCGATTAATATGGAAATTTCAGACTTCACTAAATCATTGTTAATCTTTTTCAAGATTATCCCATAATTTCATCAAAAAAAAAAAAACAAAAACAGGTGAATACGAAGACGAAAACAAATACCCCACTCCCATTTATTGTAAATTTGTACCGAAATGTTTTATATAGCTCGCAACTTCATTTTGACTTATATAAAATCTACATTAAGTCGGAAATATTTTCACTGATTTTAAATTTTGTATAGGCCCTTTATATGCAATGATTCCGCCTTAATTCACATTATTCCCACTGTTCGACAATCCGCAGAATTTTATTTCTCAACTCGAACTATAAAAATATACATAACAAAGACGAACACATATAACGTTATTTTCGTTTATTATAGATTTAGAATAAATGAGTTTCTTAATTCGCTAAGCCTAGGATTATCATTATCGATAAGTCTACCGCCATATTGAGAAATATGTCCTCACAACGATTCTACGACTCATTTCCCTCCTACTCATATCCACTAAATTTTAGGAGCACATTAAAAGAGACACCTTTTATGTGATAACATGCTCACCAAACCATTTATCGTTAAATACAATTTCTTTTCACGGCCCTACTGACTTTATCCCCGCTCCATTCTCGTTGATCACATTTAACGAAAACAGCTTAAGATATAAACCTTTGTAATGGTGATATTAATTAATTAATATCAATTACATCTATTCTTTGATAATTCCTTAACAACATTAGAATGCATTACGAAACAGACAAAATCGACCATTTGAAAAACGAAATCTACGAGGTGAAATAAAAGATAAATAGGTAAAGCGATCCTTTTATCGGCAAATTTCACAGTTTTCTAGCTAATTCTAGTTCACAGTTTGCAAGCTTTTCGGCCAAATTTCTCTGTGGTTCACATTATAATGCAAAAACTTTACACCGGTTAAATCATTCGACAGAAATCACCTTAATCATGCAATAAATGCACAACAATGAATATATTTTTTACAAATTATAAACTAATGAACGAACTATGAACTAATTACGATTATAATTCAACTAACAAATCATGGGAAAATAAATAAGTTTGAGGTAGTCTTAACGATATATAAAACGAATACTTGCACGTGGGCAAACTACCAGTGATAAACAATGAACACCATAAAATACACCAATAAATAAGAATTAATTTCGCGAAGTTAGCATCGCTTAACCATTTGAATGAAAGAATTAAAAATTAAAATATGAAAATTTTTATAATCAATAGTTAGTTATTCGATGCCTTATAATCCAATATGTAACAGAATTAGTATTGCGTTAAAACTCTCCTCAACTCAAAACTACAGATCAAATCGATTTATGAATAAAATTATAAAATTATCTATTTCTCACAGTTTCACTTCAAAACTTAAAATTTCCCCTTTCGACCTGTTCATTTAAATCCGAGGTTACAAAACAATTAATACAATTTAAATGAATTTAAAAAGTGTATTCGTAAATGAAAAATAAAATATACATATACATCCTGTGATCCAGAACAGACTAATCTACATAACAATGAAGGCTATTAATTAATGAACAACAAAGAAGGGTATTTGAACTTTCGGAAAAAAAAACGAATCATTTTTGAACAAAAACCCTTAAGGAAACAGAAAGTCCGCAAAGTTATTTTCAAAATAACAGTGAGACCGCGAAAAAAAAATCTGTAAAGAGAGATTATCATTTTAAAAATGAAAAAAATTACAAAATAAACAAATTTAATAAACAAATTTCGAAACTTCACAACTTCTTGCTTCCTAAATTATGCACTATAACGCTAAGAAATCTCTTAAAACTGCTGCCATTAACTGAAAAACATGGCAGAATTACGGCAAAGAAGTCGAAATATTTCAAATAAACAATAGATTTTATGTATAAAAATTCTATTACGAAATCTAATAAAGTAAACTGAAAAAGATGTCAAAAATTTATTTTAATTTACAACTTTGAAATTTTTTATGATGTTAAAAGCGAATAAACAGTATGCGCTTTGATAATTTATACAGGACATACTTTTTCATTTTTACGCCGCGACATATCAACTTGTAATTTAACTGAACAAAAATAAATCAAGCTATCTAAGTCAATGAATTTAATCTAAAGTGAATTTAATCTAAAGTTTAAAAGTAGCGTCAAATAACGACTCGCGTCAAATAACGCCGATTAATAACCCTGCTTGTTATTGATTACTCGTTGATTTGAAAACATTTAAAAAAATTGCCTTCTGCGTCTCATGAGGCAAGCGACTCAGAACATCGCTAAAAGACGACGTTTGACCGAAGGCTGAGTGTGTTCCAAGTGAAACTTGTCCCAGCGAATTTCGCATTAGAGCCGCATTTTGCGGGAACTGTTCTTGTGAAAGCGAAGACTGTACCAGCAGATCTTGCGCAAGAATATTTGAATTAACTCCTCCAATTACACCAAACTGATTTTGTTCGAGCAAAGCATTTTGTGACATGCGTGGCGAAAGAGTTGGATTGATAGCTGAATTAAGATTCTGTTGATGAGTTCCTACAAGGGTGGGAGACAGATGGGATGTTGATGGTATCGGTTTATCCATCACATTAGCACATTCAACGATTGGCTGAGAACCCAACTGTGAATTCATTTGCGCTTGTGCTTCGGCTTCGGCACGAGCTTTCATGGCATGAGATTTCATATGTGCATTTAGGCTTTTCACCTAAAAACAATAAATATAATTGCAGAAAAACGCCAATGAAAATAATGAATATTATTTTAATATTATTTCAGCTCATTATTACTCATTGTTTACAGTTAATTCAAAAAATTATCTGACCGTCTGACCGACACTCACAATAAATAAAGAAATTCATCTTTTTTTTCAACAAATTTTGTTTTGAAAAATGTCTGCTTAAAAAAAAACTATGAAAGCAAAATATTTTAAAAATTTTTATCTCAATAATATTCTAATATTCAAAAATATAAAGAATATTAACTCAGCTTTTTCATTTTTATAAACCGAAACAAATTATAAACCTTTTCGAAATATTTATCACATAGCCTACAGTGGAAATATCCATCTGCTGATGGCTGTGCGCCCTTTTTAGAAGTACGAGGCTGAAATAGATTTGATTACGAAATGCGAGAAAACTATTTAAATCGTCGCTTGAAATAAAGTTCTAAGTGAAGAGAAAACTCACCAGATGCTGGGGCTGATATCCGGAAGGTGAATGAAGTAAAGCCAGTGACTCTACTAAAACAGGATTAGAAGTAAAATTATTCGCATCATTTGCCTCTCCAAAACGAACAGTTGAAGCTTTGCGTAACGATGATGCGATTTCATTATTCTCAACTTCGTTTAATTTTACCACACTGAAAACTAATAAGTGATATAAAAGCTAATTAAAATTCTTTGTCATTGATACAACATCTTCCTTGAAAAAAACCTTTAATGGCTTTAAAATTCATAAAATTAATATTTGTGTGATCATGGCCGAAACAGTGGAAAGCGACAAAACTGCCGTGACGAGAGTGGAATCCGAACCCACGCCTCCGAAGAGACTGGTACTTGGAGAGATAACTCACAAAATATCTTGGTCTCATTGCACGTCATAATAAAAAAATTACACAAAAAAATTATTAAAAAAAATTACCTCGCATCATGACGGAAAGAATGTTCATTATCATTTGCATGAGAAACAGAAGTCACGTCACTATCAGCTCCAGAAAATTCTGATTCTTCCTCACCATCGCGACACTTTGTGTTTGACCGCAGGTTATAACTTTCAGCTACGTCCACCTAAAAATAGCAATACTGATGTGATGGCAAAATGGTTTATACTGAACAGAATTCTCGAATTTTCTGCACAAAATCATCGTTCAAGAGAAGCCAATAAAAACTCTATTAAAACAGTCATAATGGCGAAAGAGTAATGGAATTGAAAATCGCACTAATTATTTATCTGACTTTGGAAAAAAAAAATTTAAAATCAAACTTTCTGTTGCATTTCAAGTAGCTGTCTTTTACGCCGCAAATTTCGTAGCTTTCGATAATCATCAGGACAAGCTTTCTTCCACATATAGTAAAATTCAACGCACTGCTTAACAGTTTTATTACCCAGCTGAAAAAATAAGTAATGCAAGGCGCTTCAAAAGTGGACAATAAGAGAAGCAATTTTTATCAAATATAATAGAGAATCAAAAGGAGGAAAAAAAAATTAGAGGAAAAATCTAAGAAAACTTTACTAGGACTCATAAAACATAAATATATTAATAAAAAACGTTCTATTTTATTATTAAGAAAATCTTACATCGATTGCAACCTGATGAAAATCTTTTTCGCTTTTGTAGATTGCATCTTGAAATGAAAGAATTTCTTCTGGCAACCACGGTACCGTGTCAGCATACGTGCTGTTGTAAATGATTGGATATTGCTCCCAGTCCAAAATATCACATTTCATCAAATCCATTACAGCTGCTTGAATATTTCCCTTAAGTTTACAAATTTAGCATTTAAAGGTAATTCAAATTCAAGCTAATTTAAGGAATTAAAGATATTAATTAAATGAAAAAATGGTGGTAACTAAATAACTTAATGAAAACCAAATCGGACCGCTTTCTCAATTAATCTTTTCATTAAACTGCTAATCCTGAGGATAAAATTACTTTATTTTCCATTAGCAAATGTAAAGCCAGCTCCTTATTTCGTCCAGGTCGAGGCACAGCTTGACTGCAAGCCAATAATTCATATGCTTCCACTGAAAGAAAAATTATCATATAAAAATTAACAAAAATTTTTCAAAATAACAAAATAAAATAAGATTTTTTAAACCAAATAATTTCGACTGAAATAATTTCATTAAAAAAGGATGCTGACCTGCTGAATCTTCTAAATGGTCAATAACATTACAGTCAAAAACAGCATCATCTCGATCAGGAATAGCAGCTCTCTCTTCATCGGTTATTTCGCGATGTGCCCATTTTTTCACTTTTGCTTGAAAAGCTGGTCCAGTGTTTATATGTCTATATAGCAGTTAAAAATCAAATCAAGGCAATGAATTTTCGTAAAATAAATAAACCTGGAAAGAAAATATTCACCATGTTTTTCATCATAATGAAAATAAGGTGAAACAAGAGGTTAATACACACCATATCTGGTTATGCTGACTCCATTGAGTTTTAGTGCAATGGTAGTTTTTGCTGCGGGGTCAATAGGGAAAAAACAAGAAGGTCCCTAATATTATTTGAAATTTTTAGAAACAGGACTATTCTTGCCCGAAGCAGACTATTCTTGCCCGAAGCAGAAAATGGGATATTCTATATGGTTATGTAAGCAACAACCGCTCAGCGTTTGGCTATTCACAACTAAAATACTCGATAATAAAATGAACTAATTTTAAAATTGATAAAAAAAACATTGGTAAAAATTGGTTGGAACTAACGGCTCAGAATCAGTTTCAAGAGGACCATATTCATCCTCGTAGACATCTGACATTGACGAAGCCTTGCGCAATGCATCACCTTCACGCGAAAATTTTCTGCAAAGTTGATTTAATTTTAGATTTAAGTATGAAATAATCCTAAAACTCCTGAAAGTATGAAATGAAAATAGGCAAAAAAAGGCCAAAAAAAGGCATAAAATACCTCGTTTCAGCTATCTCAATTGCTTTGCTCGTGGATCGAAGAGGTGATCCTCCAGTCGACCCATAAGATTCTTTTCGCATAGCCTCCAAATCAATCAAATTTGTCTACAATTAATTAATATTAGCATAATTAAATTCAACAAATAACGTAAAAAAATAACTGCATAAATCGCTTTGGTTCAAAATTCTCTAAGATCAGCTGGTCCTTAAATCTTCCATATGAACAAACAGTAAACTGAGGACAAAAGCCATCCCGAAGAACTGGCCCTAACCTACCAGTAATGTCCACTTAGACCCTGCGTGAGTCGCCAATCTTTTTGAACCTCTTCTTATTCTGATCAGTTATTTCCTCAGAACCTTCTACATTTGCATTGGAAAACAGCTGCCTTTCCTAATGCTCCATTAAACCTCGTTGCATCCTTTTGTCAGATCCTATTAGTAACTTTACCATAAGCTCTTCTGCATGACCTTAACTGATTCTTGTTTTTCAGAGCTTATAGACATCCATACTCCAAAGCACTCTTAATCCTCTTCACTAAATCGCATCATCATCATTTTTTTTCATTAAAACCAGATATTAATACTTCCTTAAAAATTTTTTTATTATATAACCGCAGCACTGGTAAGCTATCGCGATGCCAAATCTCCGTTCCTTCTGTATTCTTATTCTTTTATTTTTTTACAACATAATAATTAAAAACCACTGCACATAAAGCCTCACGTTTTAAATCGAAAAATGTGTGCGATAAACAATTTATGGCCAGCTAGTGACCATTATAAAGAGAAAATTAAGAAATAAAATAAAAAAAAAAAATAACGAATCACATTTGGAGTTTGCGAGTGATAGAAAAACCCATTTTTTCGTGAAGGTGTTGTCGATTCTTCACCAATTCGCTTTCGCTGATAGTCTACATTGCGCAAGCTGTTCGACGCTTCACAACTGCCAAATTTTTCGATATTTGCACCTAAATTGCAAAATCTGCTTGTTCTTAATCTTTAAACATTATTCTCAAATTATGGAAGCTAACAGCAAAATAACTAAAAATTACTCACTAGCAAAAAGAATCAGAAATTTCGCAGAGATCTACAACGTCTAGAAAGAAATTTAAACTTAACAAATTTTTTACCTAGGAGTTCAAGTAGCTGCAATTTTAAAAAATTATAAAAATCTTAAATCCTAATAGAAACTAACAGAAGAAACCAGAAAAACCAATTCTGAACCTCAGTTCAAATTCTAAATCCCAATAATCACGAAAAAAAAATTTGAAAGTGTGCTAAAATGAAACAGAAAAATAAAAATATAAATGTAATATATAACATGAACTGGCCTGTGGAATTCGAAAAACTCCTGTCGAAGCAGTAGGGATTAACCTGGAACATAATTTAATTTAATGAATACAAATGCCCTTATACTACCTTGGCACCACTCCTGCCGTATTCCTAAACGTCATTTAAACCATCATACTCCTAAAACCTAGCCAATAATACCTTTTAAAATCTCAAAGATTACTGCATTTCTTCTCTTCCTCTTTAAAGCTCGTTCTACTTCTCCTTTCCAATTAAATCCCGTTAAACTCTTCGACTGTCCTTCAAAGCGCAATTTCCTAGTCTCCTATGAATGGGCAAAATTTTCTTCATCACAAGTAAAAGTCATCAGCTAAGCTGAATTAAGCACGAGTTACTGGAGCTTTACCACAATCAGTACTGGTTTGGAACTTTGAATTAAATTTTAAGACTTAAGCTCAGGTTTTACATATGATTATTTACCAATTAACTCAATGTTTTGAATTCCGCTAATTCGCTATTTGTGTTTTTTGCATTTTTTCTGCATTATTTTGATTAAATTTATAAATGATTAAGAAGCGATAAAATCATAATTGATAAATACCTACATTTTCAGTATTTTCACTATAAAAAATTGAATGACCCAAACCGAAATTATAATATAAAAATACTACCTCACAAGTTTGGCTGACCGAGCGAACAATATGCCAAAAGAGACCTGAACCATTTCTTATAGGACTAAGCATCGGCGGTGGAGTGTATAACATTGACTTCTTCGACTTTGAATTTCGTGATCGCAACTGCGACAAAAACTGAGTAATTCGAGGCTTTTGAAGTCGAACTTCAGCTACGCTGATACTTAATGAACGATAACGAGTATCATCCTTCTCAAGCGTCAACTCCGTGCGAGGTCTGTAACATCTTCCTTCTATAAAAATACTCCGTTTTTCAAAATAAAAATCATAAAAAAATAATAAATAAATTATTCTATACTGGCTCACTGTGTTGGCTTTCTCTCAAATTTCTGAAATAATAATCATTTATTCTAAACAATGCATAACCAGTAATAAAATCAAAAACAAATGGCATACTTTTCCTCAGAAATTATACCGCATATATTAAAAATTAAAAGAATAATTAACAAACTTTTTTCCAGGTGGAGAGAATTCTCGTTTTATATAATCCTCGTTTCGACGTTCCATATCCATTGAAGTTTTACGTTCGTTAGATGCTAATAGCTGAACAACATTTTCCGGTTTTCCCTTTGATTTACGTTGAACATTTAATGGATTTAAAGAAATAGAACGTTCTGGTTGTTTATTTTCATAATGTGGAGATTTCAATATATTTGTTTCATTTTGCAGTCGATTTAAAACGCTTAAAATCCAATATTTAATATTAAATTAGATTAGAAAAAAAAATTTAAATCATTTTCACATATCTCGAATTCGCAGATAATTCTTTTGAATGACAACTATGATGAGTCACGACGTGCATCGTGTATCGATGTGGTGAAACTCTGGCTTCGCAATGTGGACAAGACGAAAAATATATCACACGCTGAGGTATTCACTATACTGAACCGAATGAAGAAATTATTTTTTTACTTGCTAATTACTTAGTAATTTTAAATATCTTCGCAGAATTCTTGTACCAAATGGCTAAACCAAAGATAAAAATGAAACGTTTATGGAACTCCACAAAATCAGATTCAAAACGAAAATTACTATTTAACAAGCTGGATTGTCTTGATGTATGGTTAGCCAATAAGAGTAGAAGATATCAGGAAACTACCTACCTCCGTTCACTCATATCTAAGGTATAATATTTCGCTTATTTTCACATATGACATTGAATTGAGTAAAATGGAAACACCTCTTTGTAGCCAACGAATCAGCAATGAAGAAAAGAACAAGAAGGAAAAGAAAAAAAAAAACTTAAAAAAATATATCAAAGCAAGCTTAGCAAAAAATGAAATAAAATGAAGAATTAAGATTAAATGAAACATTAATCAAAAGGAACGTGAAAATCCTTTAAAACTCTATAAAGAAGATTTTGTAACGCTATAACACAGAACCGACAGCACCTTTCTAAAATTTATTTGGATACTACATTATAAAAAAATTCTAAAAAATTGATTTGAACAAAATTTCGAAAAAATAAAATTCTCCATAAAACACAATTTTCATCTTTTTCTTTACATGAAAATAATGAAACTTATTGCGAATGTTTCATCAGCTCTAACCTTTGATTGAAACAATTGATAATATGATCAGATGTTTGAAGATTATTTGTTTGTCGATTTATTGCCAAATGATTTATTCCATCTAATTCCGTTCTACTTGACGAGAAGTTTGATGCTGAGTCATCTTCAAATGTTTCATTTTGCTAAAAATAAAAATTTATTCTCGCTCAATAATAATGAAAAAAAAAAAAAGAAAAAAGGTAAAAATTAAAAACAATAAAAATATCATTCAACTTCGATCAGATAAAAATTTTCAGAAAAAAAAAAAACGTTCAAATTTTGTAAAATACAAAAAATGCAAGGAGAAAAAGGCAAAAATTTCTAGAAATCTAACAACTGATAAATTTATAAAAGTTAACAAACAATCTTTTCTATTTTTTCTTTTTTTCTTAAAGCAAATGTATCATTAATAATTCAATAAACTTTTAAACGAAGAATGCGAATGATAAATTTTTTTTTTTTTTTTTGCTGATTGCAATCTCACTTCATAAATCATTGAAAATAATTTTTTAGACTAATTTTATTTAACAAATATTTTTAATAACAAATAATAAAACGAAAAACAATTAATAATAATAATGAATTGGAATGAGAATGTATTTATTCGTTAAAGAATGCTAAATTTTTTTTTTTTTTTTGAAATAATTAAGTTTGAAATATTTCTTAAAATCCGCCAAATAGCAATTAATAAATTAATTTAAAATTAAAAGTTTTAAAAAATTTTGAGAAATTTTAATTCAAATAATTTCAATGAAAATAAAGGAAAATAATTTCGAGGAAATTTTGCGAAAGAATAATAAAACGAAAATAAAACGCGGCAAATACGGTAAACCGACATAAGCATAACAGTAAACATCGAAGCAAAATGCGGCCATTGATCATGGCGAGCAATGGAAAAAGGCGGCCAAAGGTGGACAATGGAACAAAATGCGGCCACCAATAAAAAAAATTAGTAGACAATGGAAAAAAAAATGCGGTGAAAAACGATTAAAGAAAAACGATTAAAAAAATAAAATGATAGTTAATAAAAATTTAAATAAGAATGAAAAGAATAAAGTGAGAAAAGAAATGAAGAGTGACATATAGGAGAGAGCGCGGACAGAAGTTGAAAAGCAAGCAGCAAGTGCAAGCATATTTGCTCATAAAATTTACTTGCTCGCTCGACTTGCATGCGACTGATTACTCGCTCATAAAGTTTCTTGCTTGTTTAATTACCCAAGTTTGAGGGAGATTTAATTTAAAATAAAATTACTGGGTAAATATTAATTTCTTAATGACTGTGCGCTCTATGAGCGGCTGTGCCGAAAAGGTGCTCTCCTCATTGATCAATACAATTAACACAAGTTATTTTTATTATTTGACTATATAATTGTATTATTATCTTACAACTTATTA